GTTAGATGACATTCATACTTAGTATTAGGATGATTTTAAGTTGTTGCTAAAAGTGTGTGTGAGAGAGTGTTTTTCCCCTCCAGAAACATGCATCAGAAATTAAACCTGTGAAAGTTAACCTTCTCACTTATCTGAGCTTTATGAGAGATATTCTCATGGTTGGAAGATATAATTATACCTCTGCTAATTAAAAGTGTTCTCTTTTTTTAACTAGCTTATGCTTCATATACCCAAACAATTTGGCATTCACAGATGGGGCATTGATCCTCAGAGTGGGCTTTTAGAGAGACCCAGGGCAGTTTCGTACACAAATTCATGCCAGCTGCTCTTTCAGATTTCTGTGGTTATTTTTCAGGAGGTCATTTTGTCATTTTTTTTCCTCCTTAGACCAAAGTTTGGACAATCTTCAATGTTAGGAACAGGCCTAGTTTCCACACTTCAAGAGCCAGGAGCCATTGAATTGTAGTAGCACAGTTCCTCCAACCATCAATGCAGTTTCCCACCTCTCTAAGCATGAGACACAACAAAAGTGTGTTTCATATCAAAATAAGCCTATCATCATCACTATAACAATCACCCCTCCAACTCCAGCCCCAGCCAAAGGGGAAAAATAGAAAATCACAGCCCCTCCTATGTGTGAACTAGTCAAGTCTATTTGGTCTCATCACTTTGAAGCCCTTCTCCCCAACAAAAATAGTTAATTCAATCTCTGTCCATCAAACGTACAACTGCTGATCCTTTAGGCCTTGGGGCCCTGCTTTGCACAAAAATACGTGTCCCAACTCTCTTCCAGACACACTGATACATATTCAGTCCTGTAGTTCATGCTACTTCACCTGCCCCCTACCAACTTAGTATTCTTGAGTGAGAATGTAAAAATGTTTGGCCCTTTCTCTGGGAGGAAAATTTCTTGATTCGCCTTCCCAGCAAAAGCCATCACTCATCTCTGATTTAGGGCCTGATCCATCCCCCCACCCTGAAGCTCACTGAGAGGAAAAAAAAGGGGCAGAAAGAAACAGGACTTATTATTCCTACTCTTAAAATACATTTGTTTGAGAAAAGTAATTCTATCCTAAATTGGGTTTCTAGAGGAGGTTTTGATTATTATTTTTTTTGCTCTCCATGGTCCTGAAATCTTTTCTCTTCTGTTTGTTGTTGTTTAGTCGTTAAGTCGTGTCCAACTCTTCGTGACCCCATGAACCATATTGCGCGACCCATCAATTCCTGGCAAATGAAGTCTGTTACTGCTTCCATTTCTACCCCTTCTATTTGCCAGGAATTGATGGGTAAATGAAGTCTGTTACTGCTTCCATTTCTACCCCTTCTATTTGCCAGGAATTGATGGGTAAATGAAGTCTGTTACTGCTTCCATTTCTACCCCTTCTATTTGCCAGGAATTGATGGGTAAATGAAGTCTGTTACTGCTTCCATTTCTACCCCTTCTATTTGCCAGGAATTGATGGGTAAATGAAGTCTGTTACTGCTTCCATTTCTACCCCTTCTATTTGCCAGGAATTGATGGGTAAATGAAGTCTGTTACTGCTTCCATTTCTACCCCTTCTATTTGCCAGGAATTGATGGGTAAATGAAGTCTGTTACTGCTTCCATTTCTACCCCTTCTATTTGCCAGGAATTGATGGGTAAATGAAGTCTGTTACTGCTTCCATTTCTACCCCTTCTATTTGCCAGGAATTGATGGGTCATAACCTTGCTAGCATGTGAAATGAGTGCAATTGTGCAATAGTTTGAGCATTCTTTGGCGTTGCCCCTCTTTGGAATCTCTTCTGTTTACTGAGATTTAAACTGGCTCCTGTATTGTATAGTTTAAAAATACACATATCTCCTGTTTTTTCCAGAAAGACACTGAGCAGAGAAATGTTTTTGAAACAAGCATGGATGGAAGTCATGTTCATTTCAACATAATAAGTTGAATGTGGATGCAATCATGTTTAGTACAGGCTGAAAGGAATGAGATTTAATTCATTCATAGTTATCTTAAACCCTGTTGATTTCAGCAGGTGTGCTCAAATGACCTCTATTTTAAGTCCAAGCCAATATTTTGTAGAGGAGAATAGATAATCTAAGATTGCTTTCACGCCCAACTTCAGGGACCAAGAAGAACCTATCTAGGTACAGATTACCTATTCAGCATGACTGCTGGTCATCTATCACATTTAAGGGTGGGGTGATCTTCTCCATTGGCATAGACATTAGATAACTCTGAGGTCCCTTCCAATTTCCCAAGCAGGAAGCCATTTTGGGAAATCCACATAACTTCAGTGCTCTGTGGAATGTCCCCATCCAAGGTCATTAGTTGCTGTGTTCAACTAGTTGCATCATAATAACTGGACTGGGTAATTCCTTTCTTCTACTCTTTCTAGGGAACAAAAATTCCCATAGGCATAACTTTGCATATCTCTGTTTTGTGACAGGAAGTGAAGGTTCATTTGAAATAAATAATGCAACTGGAACGGTTTCTGTTGTTAAAAAACCAACTCAGCTGAAGAAAGAAGTATACGAACTGAAAATCCAGGTAATTTGTCTTACCCTCCCACCATAAAATTCCAGCCGTACCATGGTTGTGATGGATTTATGCTATGCAGAATTTCAACTTCTGTAAAGATAGCACACACTCTCTTTCCCCCAGAGAACTGAAGCCTCAAGAACGCTGCATCTACCAAAAAGACTTTTGGTATGATTGCAAGCAAAAGAAAAAAATGACCTTTCTTAATCAGGAACCCAGAAATTATGGAATAAATAACCAAATTTGTTCATATGGACCTACAGTAGGCCAGGAAAGTGTTACAGCTAGGTTTTAGGAAGGAATGCAAGCCAAAAATCATGGAGGATGTTAAAGGTCATGAGATCAGGACAAGCAAGAAATCCCTATCCTTCAAGACCCCCAATTCCAAGGAAATGTGTAGTCAGGACACAAGTTGGGGTAAAGAGAACAATAGATCTCTATTTTGCAGCTTTAGCAACTTGCAACAAAGTGTGGAGTCCAAAGAAGAGGAAAGAACATAATAGAGATTTCCAAGAACCATTTCCTATGCATAGAAATGTAGAAAATCTCCTTCTATGCAGTGACAACCTTTTCATTTGGCAGTGAATAATTAGGGATGTGTAAGATGATAAGAAAGGGGATTAACCCAAAGCAGCAGCCAGGCCCCTTTTGCTACTTTACAGAGCCAAGGTGGCACGTAGTGGTGAAAATATCAGGCTGGGACAGGAGAAACCAACCAATCGGCTGGTCTTCTTAAGCAGAGACTAACAGAGCTCAGCCTGGAACCCGTCAGTAAAACGACTTTTCTGAAATTCATAGCTTTTCAATTCTGAATGTCAGTTTTCTTCCATAATGTAACATTGATAAGCTTTTCATTTTCCATATCCATAAAAGAAAGAGATTTTCTTTTCTTTTCCTCCCTTCTCTTCCCCTTGCCATATTGTAGATGAATTCAGCAGTGATTCAAAAACTGTCCATACATTATATAATGACTAAGTTAATAAAATTGGGATTGGAAGGTATTTTCTCCCTTACTCTCCTGCTTGCTTTGTAGGAATTCAGCTCTATAGTATTTCTGGAATTATTGACCACTTTTCCATTAAAAACCTCATCCAAATGTTCAATAGCCCATATAAATGAAAGCAATTGCTTAAAGGTAGGCATAAAATTGCTGCATTTATTGAGTTTCAGATAATTGCATCAGTTTTTTGCTGCAAAAAATAATTTCTAGACAGAGTTATTTGATTGCTAAATCCACACCTACTAAAGCCGATTATCGCCAAATCTCTTATTATTGATTAAATCCCAATTTTCAAATGATCTGGGGTATTGAAGGAATGCATTCCTAGTACTATTCCCTTGGAGGAGCCATTAAAGAAAGTAACTTAATTCTGAATTCTGGTATGACAAGGTCTCTCTCTGTCTTTATTTTTCTGTTTGCAGATTTATGCAGATTTTTCCTATATTTTTTAGACCAGCAAACTGCACTGTGATGTTCAGCTGGAATATGCTCTAGACTACACTTTAAACAATAACCCCCTTCTGTTTTGTGCATCAGTTTGAAAACTTGCATTCAAATGCCAACTAACTGAATGTCTCCTTGGCCCCTACACAGACAGAAGGACTTTGAGTGGCAAAACTTACAGCATCAGTAAACGAAATCCTTCACCCAAAGCAATTGCAATCGGGGGTTCCAGAAAGTCAAGCTGGCAGGGGGGCCAGGTGGGGGTGGGGGTGGAATAAACCTTTCAGGTGCTATTGTTGGCTTTTAAATATATTAAGATCTCCTCTAGAAAATATCTCCTCATGCAGAAGATATCTCCCAAAGGAAAATGGGTTATTTTAAGCAAGTTTTTAAAAATTGTAATTTGCTTGTTTATACTCCTGGCAAGGGGCATCATTTTTTTTCCAGGTTAACTGGAAAAGGTTATTTACTGATACTGGATTGCGTTTTATTTGTTTTATATGGAATTTAATCCTGATTTTTAGTGTTACTAGACATGCATGCATTTTTTTAAGTGTTAACTTACTTATAATAGAAACGAATCTGTGATAGATAGATAGATAGATAGATAGATAGATAGATAGATAGATAGATAGATAGATGTAGAAGTATAATTATATGATCCTGGATCCTCTCCTCTCCTCTCCTC